GGGCTGACGGATGTTTCGCGTGTCGGGACGCCTATTGCCTCGCAAGTTGTGAGAGGGTCTACAAGCTTATGGCCTACGGGCTCGACCATAAGGTTGAAATGACGGAGGAAATCAATGCCAATAATCTGTGGAAGGTCAGCGATGATGAAGACCCATGGAAAACTACGGCGCATTCCGGGGTTCAGTGTGAGTGAACGCTTGCCGTAGGTTTTGATTGGGGTTTGGTTCGCTGCAACCAACTCAACAGTCGATGAATGGCGCTTATCCAAAAGACGAGGGCGGGTAATGCTAACCTGGGCACCGATGTCTACCAGAAAACGTGTGCCAGTGACTTCGTCTGTGACGTAGAATAGGCCACTTGGCTTAGCTAAACCCGACACGGTCGTCGTCTGGGCCGGTAGGCTCAGGTGTTTCCCTGCTGTGATGGCTTGCAGCTACAAGGTTTTGTGCACCTTCGGGCTGCGTCACCGTACTGGCGATGGTACCAGTAAACGTCCCAAGATGTGCTTTGTGATCTAGAACGTCTTTGTCGACTATGGCATCGCGAACGAGGGGAGGAATGAGAGCGGGAGCTGAAACGGGAGCTAGAACGCGACCGATCGCGGGACATTTTAAGTTCGGCTACTTGAGTCATTTATTCGTCCAAGCGCCGATTCACTTGGTCGTTTGCGTCCTTCCACGAATAATTCCTTGAGTCTGGGGATAGGCGGGTGACTGGTGGAGCCGACCGGGTATGTGCGCAAATACTGTCGGCTGCCTCTGCGAGTTCGTCTTAGGTAGCCTTATTCGCGAGTACCTTAAGGAAAGTCGCGACGTATTCAGGCAGTGCTTGCATCCAACAAATGCGTAGCACGTTTTCGCTTACCTGTAAGCTGGAAGCCAGACTCTTCATATAGCTGAGCAGCTGCGTGGGAGTGTGTAACCCTTTATTCCTCAGACGGATTCCGTTCAGTAGCTGTTTGAGATGGTTGTCCTCCGTCATGATGAAATGGTTGATGATGGCATCTTTTATTGCGTCGTAAGGTCTATCGGATGATGGATTGCAAACTACTTCCCTGAAGCCAGAAACCATGGAGCGTGAGATATGCCGCACGATTTGTGTGAATTTGGTGACCCTGGTCAGCCGGAATTCTGCTTCCACCTGAGCTAACCAGAACTTCGGGTCTTCGGAGATGAAGTCCGGGATTCTAGCCACTAGACTGAAGCTAACCGGAGTTGACGGCCTTCTGGTATGTCTTCTTACGAGTCTCAGTATGCGCGCGACCTCCTAGTGTCTCGTTGCCCGAAGTAGACAAAAACACTCGTGGGAGTCGTAGACGTTTATTGGCGAATCGTGGTACTAGATAGTACCGAAACGTGCCAAGGTAACGCTAAACAAGCAAGCAATAAATGCGGTAGCAGAGCGATAGCGTGTCACACGTATAGCGTGGGTTTGAACAGGACCCAGCTTATATATACGCCTGAGCGGAAAACCGTGCTCGGTAAAACAAAGAAAATATCACAGTTCGAGTCAGAGTTGATTGCGAAGAAAATATGAACGGAAAACGTCCTCGTGGATTGCTCCTTTTCTTTGTACAATCATGATCACTACATATTTCAAAGACCCCTCTATTTATTTTTTTCGTCGCCTTTACCGATCAGCACCAACAAGGGCCGCTTAGAACTTATTCATTCCGTTGATATCTAGGTTCTGACCTCAAAATTGGCTAGGAAACCTCAGACAAATTACGCAACAAGAAAGTTTGGTATATTTTCCCCACTCGACGGTCTAGCAGTGCATGACTATCAAAGAGCTTTTTCTAACAGCCCTGGTTAGTTTTATTCTGGCTTGTTCCAGCTGTGATACATCCCATTTTCCAATGAAGACAAAGCAGAAAACGGCGACGGGCATGCACACACTCTTCTCACGGCAACTGAATTTCCCCAAATTTTTCGTTTGGATAAGCATCCCCTGCCACATCAACCGGAGCCATTTTGGATGTTGATTCCCATTACTTCCATGGCTAGCGGGAGCATTGAGCAATAGCGAACACTGCGCATATGCACGCATCCTTATCCAATACGCTGCCTAGTTTTCTAGGTGGAGCTCTGTCATAACTTCGACCACTTCATTGCATGTTCATCCATCTTTTGAGTCTCCTTTTTACTGCACAAAGACCACCTCGCTGGTCCCTGCGTGTTCGCTTTCATTTTTCGCTCGCTTCACATCTTCCATATTGGCTCTTCAGTTTTACCCACAATATGAACATCGTTACGGTTTCTGACGTGTCTCGTTCTGCTTTCCTACGAACGCTCGTTTGTGCGACAGCCGTATTGCCTGAGTTCCGATAGAAGTGCGCCTACATCTGAGCGCAAAATACAATAAAAGATCTGTTCGTGACTGATGTACGTGTTCCCGAAGTATTACTTATGAACTATCATCAGGCGGTTCATCAACTGCCACAGTGGCCCGTTTCAGCTACCTCACGTACCATCAACTGGAATTATTTTCTGAAGGACAAAACACCTCGTCGTCAGGCAACCTCCCTAGGAGTCATGTCCGTGTACCTTTTTCTAGGTGTTCAGTATTACAAGCCATAATCTTTTTTCTCAGTCAGTTGGTTAGGGTTCGGATAATGTAGACCAAAACTGAACATCAGAAGAGATGAGTGAACCCAGGAACGCACAAAAATTTGAAACTCACAATCCTCTTTTACTAGACAGAAGGCAAAGAGAAACTAATAGGTTCATTGGCTTTGCGACTGATATGAAGTAATGCAGTCTTCTTCGGTATCCAGAAAGTCTTGTACGGTAATAATGCCTTCAAACTCATCAGGATGGTGTTTGTCTCGTCTGATACGGTTCAACTCTGAAAAAAATTACGAAGCAAACATCCATTGAAACGCTAGAGACTTTTAGCTTGAATTGATTTTTCACATTCAGCCAATTCATTCACCTGTCCCGAAAGTATAACAATACAAGTCAACCACGCATTCAATGACCCTTAGACGGTTTAGTTACGTATGATTCGATTTGGAGTTGATTTTGATATCTCTGCGAATAATTTGAGAATGACCGTAACATCAGCACGTTCACTGCCTTGTGTTCAACAACTGTATGCTGCAAGTGTGGAGTGACTCTCGACCTGTGGAATATGCTTTCAGTGGGCGCACGTTATTATTAAAGCTAATAGAAATGGGATTTCTGGGAGAGATAAATGCGCACGCTTGATAATTCAACCGATTATAGTGCCAAATATTTCTGCCTTTGTGGGTTATCCGCAAGAGCCGTCCGAGTTGGGGGACTGCGAGCGGTTGAGGGCCGATTTGGACCTCATAAATTGAATTCTACATTGACAGGACGCAAGGGGATGCAACTATGTCCCGTTTTACAATAAATCACATTTGTTTTTCAGCACACCGATTTTAATTTATTTTTGCCAGAAAATGGCAGCTGATGAGAGTGAATCCTTTGTGCAGTGCTGCATGACCAATAAACCGCGCTGTCATGGTGCGCGAGTAAATATCATCTCCTAACGGAAAAACACCAATGCACATGCTCCGTTTTAACAGAATGACCATTGAGGTAGATGCAAACAGGATTGGGATACAGCAGTAGAAATGAGCTGGTGTGTTCGGGTTGGATTCTGAAGATGCACTATACATTGCGAGAAAGGTTGATACACCAAGCAGTGTGTAGATTAACAAATTCGCAAATCATCGGTCAAATGACAAAATGAAGAAAGACAGAGTGTAGCAACGAAGAATACAGCAAACGCTTCACATTGGTGCGCGCGCACACACAGGTACAGCCAAGCTGCAAACGGAGTTCACGGGTAGTACCAATCAAGGAAGTGAACGGAGAACGTCAGCACCATGAGAACGAACAGGATCCAGAATTGCATACTAGCTTTGTTACTCAGCGCGGCTCGCAGTTGTTCATTTCCCTGCATAACGTCCTCCGTCGCATTGGTCACGTTTGTGGAGATTTGTTGTGTAGCCTGAGAAGAAGAAAACAGACGTCGAGCAGAATTCGGGTTGTGAGGTGGAAATGACCAATTCGACGTGAAGGAAAAGCTCGAATAAGCACAACGTTTCCCATAGGGTGAACTGCTAGTTTAAAGGCCAAAGATCCAAACACCCATCAATAGGAACAGTCGGAATTCCTCCAATTTGGTTTGTTTTTGAAACGTAAAGAAGAGTGCTGCTGAAACGATGACACTTTGGAAAAATGGGATATTACGGAGCCTCGATTGAGATACAGAACACGTTTAGTAAAACAGGACACGTTTTTATAAGCGCACGCAAATTCACAGGCACGGGGTTAGGTTCAGAGTGGAGCACAAAGAGCACGCAGAGCCGTTAAGTCTCAACAAAGACGGAAAACCTATCCTTTAAAAAGAGAGACCCAGAACAATGACGAAACAGTTATCTAGTGCCGTTTATCGACCATAACTCAAGCTTTCCCCAAAAGTATTCAATAAACTCTTGAGCGAAGGGCCAGAACGCCAAAGCATGGACCTTTGTAACATAGTCAGTGTAAAAGTACTCGACCAAAGCAGACTGTGTATTTTAATATGAGAGTAAATCGCACAATTAAGA